CAAGTAAGAAAGAAAATTTTATCACATCAAGCAGGTGCTCGACGTAGAACGTATACAAGTGTAAACTCTTAGAGAGATATTGCGAATGTTATTTGTACACCCACAGAAAAAGTTTCCGGATTCAATGCTATTACACTTGAATGTATCATAAAATAGGATCGATATAGGGTCAATTATATTTATTATAGAAAAAGGAATATTTTAATCTTAATTGAAAAATTCTACAATCTGGAATCGTCTTTTGTCGGATATTGCGGTGCCAACTTGGCGCGTTGCGAGATGGAGGGCAAATTTATTCTAAACGCAAGAATATATAAACTTACTCTTGTCTCAATAGAGTAAGTCAATCTTTTTTAATTCGATGGAGGAGAATAAGAATTGTTGATTTTATTTTGATATCGTCTTATGTTTATACTAAATGAGGTTGTGAGAAATGTAAATGCGTCAAGAATATGTTTGTCCCGGTAACAAAAATACTTTCTGAGGGTGTACTCTGAAAATTTAGCGAGAAAATTGACCGTACTTATCTCTGGGCTAATAAAGGGATAATAAAGGAAGAGGTATATAATTTACGAGTACACGAGTATACACACTTTGTATACACGGAAAAGAAAATGTAGCTGCCGTAGCTAAAAACGGCACGCGGTAACTAAATTTCAGTTGTAAAATATGGACAGCCAATATTGAATTGTGACAGCTGAATATTTTGCTACTGTGCCTATTGTATTAGGTGCGGCGGGAAACCATTTGCCGTGCTTAAAAAAATTTATAGTTACGGCGGCAAAATATTTTCAGAAAACCGTGATCAGCTACGACAGCGATAAGTTTTTTTTCCTTCAGTGTAGCAAAATCAGCTGTGGCGCGGCAGTTTTATTTAACCCCGTTTTTGTTTCTGCATTTTCCTTCCGATATTAGTTATTAAAGTCGCGCCGTTTCGCTTCGTGCAACTGTTACAGCCGCATGCATTACTGCAGCCGCCTATTCATTGTCGGTATCAGATGCACCGAGGAGCGCCTGCCACAAGCGCTGTAATACTTGCAGCTAGGCGCCGGAAGTACCTATATGCGAACGGAGTTGCCTTGCCGCGCCGGCCGACCGACTTGTCCCGCAATTACTCGCACGGAAACTTACGAAAGCGGGTCGAAGAACGAAGGAGTCGGCTCCCGTCGCCTTTAGCATTGTTCGGGAGAGCAAAGGAGTCGCGAAAGTCATTGCCACTTGGTCCATACGTAACGATGATACATCGCCAGAGTTGTCTAACGCCTCCGTAATTTCTCCTAGAAGATGCTACGGCGACGCGTCTCGAAATCATTTACAGATATGATTATTGAAGCGTCTTGTGCGGCGACGTCTCCGCTTTTCGTTGTCCGCGCGAACTTGATCCTATTACGCGAAAATATCGTCTCTCGATGTGCGAATACGCGAATGTACGCGGACTCTTCGGGATAAAATTTCAATATTCACACGCACGCGGGCGGGACATTCATTTTCCGCTTAACGCTCAGCAGAACGATGTTACAGTTAAAACGTTCGCCCAAAACCACCTAATAATTCAGCCAGCGCCGCTCGCAATCCTCTCACGCACATAAATTTCCCTCGTCGTCGCCATTAGCGCGCGATTTCGCTGCTCACCGACGTCCGTTCCGACCGCTGAGTCTCCGCTCGACGTTAAACGTCTCGCTGCGCGAGAGAGAGAGAGAAGAGGAAAAGGAGGCGGACGTTACGATTCATCCATTTCGATAAACCGGCCGGAAACGGCTACACTGCTTTTTTCTCTCACGATGTACGTCAAAGGGCTGATGTACCAGCAGCGGCTCCGATTTTACGGATTTGACGAAGCTTATTACTCCCCGTGCCCGCAGCCCGCAGCCGAGTTTCATTGAATGGACGATTGATGCGGCGGGACGCCGGCGTCCCGGCGCGGCGCGACGGCGGTCATGCCAAGGCCATTCCCGAAGGACGACGAAATTGCTTCCGCTCGCTATTCGAATCCAAGGCCCCTGATATTCGTGCCGGAGCCGGAGCTCGCGACGAAACGGCGGGGGACGATACGCCGCCGCGCGTATAACGCGGCCGCGAATTGCGGCAGGCGGGCGAGCGGGCGGCGTGCGCGCGCTCTTTTTCCGCGGCGCACCCGCGACTGCCGATCGATCGATTGAAAACTATTTCAGCGATTACCCTCCGAGATGTACGCCGGAGGGAAATACCGGGCATCTAAAGTGAGGGAGATCGGAAATGGGGGGGAGAAAGAGCGGATTCAAAGGAGGAAGCGGCAAATTGTTACACCCGCGGAACATTTGCTCGCAATTTTTCCCTAACAAACTCTAATCATAGTCCGCTATTGATTATGGCTCTTTCATTTCTCCGATGGATCTGTCAATATTATTTCTTCAAAGTATGCTAATGCTTATCAGCCATCTCCCTCGGACGACACTTGAACTCTTTTTTAACGAGAACTTTATCCGATCTCGCTACTTTGTTACGGCTCTCCATTAATTTATCGATAACAGCAGAAATGCAGCTAGAGAGAACGTTTCAAGATAAGATATAATTTAATACTGTAGCAAATGTACTCTCTCGTGATAATAATTCCCTTAATCGCATCGGTATTATTAATTTACCGATGCTCTACTCTTCACAACATTTTTACCTCGATCTTTCCTAAGCAGGAATAGTTCAAGTTTATTATAATTTATTATACTAATAAGATACACCATTGACCTAAAACATAGTGTTTTAATTCCCACGTAATTAGGGAATGGGGGAGAAAGTGGACAGGGATATTTAAAAAATCGCGTGTCGACAGTTCTGTGTACAGTCGACAACCCTAATCGGTTGTTTAAAGTCGAAAAATAGACGCGAAGACAACACCTTTATACTGTTATTGCGACAAGTATATTACCACATGCCTCAGTGGTCGAATTGGTGAGACGTCCACCTAGAGTGTAGGGAGGTCCAGGTTCAAACCCTGGCTGAGGTAATGCTTTTCGCAATAAATTTTCTGTATTATTAAAAATTCCAGATATGGTCAAGGACATACTAACGTTGTTTATTATAATCTTGTAATTTCTTTCTCAAACTCGTTTTACATTTCTCACACCTACATATACTCGCGAAATTATCTCTCTTTATTGAAGTATGTCTCACTCATGGAGTTAAACAAGAATTCAATTCCGCCCTACTTATAGTATGTGTATTCTTGAGCAGTAATTGGTCCAATCAATTGCAAGCAATAAAGTGACCAGTCGAGTTGATAGAATATGAACTTTAGATTGACCAAAAGAAAAGCGGGTTATCTTATTGGGAAAGTTTTTACACACGTTGGAAGGCAAGGCGGGGAAGCCTGGGCGGTGCGCTGAATAGGAATGTTTCATTTATGCATCGCGACAAAAGCGATAGAGGCCGTATTGAGAAATGTATATATGTGCCGACGCGACGCACGGGTAATAGAATGAGGGTCGCAATAATGCAAAGGGAGGAATGGGGTCGGATCGATGATCGATTCTGACGTAGTGGTGGAGGACACCGGTGGTGGTGGCGGCCGTTCGATTTCAGAGGGCTGTCGATCTCTGTTGTTTGCCCAGTGCCATTTGTATTCCATTGAGAGTGTCGGAGGTGGTCGGCGTATTGGTCTTATTGTTCCAGGTAATTCATCGAGCTTTCATCGCGTTTGTAAAAATACTGACGGCGCGCGTACAGCGCATGTTCATTGAGGTCGCGGCCGTGGATCATCGTGCACGTATCTCGAGAACTATCTCTAAATTATACGAAATTAGGTCGGACATTCGAATCTGCAGTTTACAAAATTTCGAACGTTCGAACTTTGCGCGTCGCGATCTTCTCGGAATTTCACATTTTTTTTCATCGACATTACGCGTCACCCGCGGATTTGTTTAACTAAAATTGCTATGCTATTTAGGACAAGAACGAAGAAACGACCACTTTCCGAGACGGATTAGACTCGCTGCTCAAAATATTTTATCCTAAAGTTATTACGAGGCTAAAAAAATTGGTACGTCGATAGATTTGTCCTAATTGTGGTAGATTGACCAAAATTGAGCGGATGTTAAAAGCTGCACACGGGAGTCAAATAATCGATTGACTGGTTAAATTTTGAAAGGTCCGACGTGTCCCCTCGTAAAATGAAGTACGTTTTCAATGTTTCATCGATCGTGGTTATTGCAGTTTAAGTCCGCTGAAAGCGTGTGTTAAATTCCCGGTGGAGAACTTTGACGGAATTTTTCGCGAATTATAGGCTTTGAATTACGATACAAAAGGCAAAGATGGATAACTCATCGGGTAACTTATCTCCCGCAAATTACGCATGTTTAGATAAATCTTTGTTTCATTGTTTAATCTAAAGATTTTCTCTGGAGAATAGCTGCTGCGTCAGCTGCGTGGCACGCGACAGACTAAAAATTTCAAATGACAAAACGATACAATCGTACAACTAATTGTAGCAGCATAATCTATTCATTACCTGTATCAAATGATATGTAAAAATTTACATTACGCCTGCCTATAAGAGAATAGGAAAGTCCAGGGTTCAAACCCTGGCTGAGATAATGTTTTTCGCAATAAATTTTCTGTGTTATTAAAAATGTCAGATATGGTCAAGAAAACACTAAAGTTGTAAAAATTTGTATTACAAAGTTAATTTTTCCGGAACACAATAGAATAAAGGTGTTGTTCCTCTCTCTTTCTTACTAAAAAAAAATGGTCGTGTTGGTATTCTGAAATCTATTCGATTTACTACCGCGACTCGAGAATGACAATCCTCGTCACAATTCCTGGCGCTACATAGAGCTCCTCGTTCGTATCGCTGCGTACCCATCGACAGTTGTTGAAAGAAAATAGAATATGACGGCGGCAGGCGCGAGGCGGTTCGTGCAAATCAATCGAATCGTTTCACGTCGTGTCTCGTTCCGTTCGTCTCTTGTCTCTTCCGCTTGTCTTGGGCCTCCGTTCAGTTCACTCTCGTCCTTACCGCGCGCGCACAAATGTCAGATTCGCAGACCAAGCGGATTTACTGCGCCCAACAGATAAACGTACCGCCGACGTTGCCGCATATTCTGAAGCTGTACGCGAAGGCGGCAATTCGCACGCAACCGCACGATCTTCTGCGATGGACCGCCGCGTATTTCCGCGCCCTGGCGAACGGCGAGGTGCCGCCGGCGAAGGTACATTTCTTTTTGCGCAAACACGTCGTTCCCACGTCAGTCGAGCTCCGCGATCTCCTCTTCTACTTGTATTACCTTTCCTCGGATCCATTATTCATCGTGTAGCATGCGCAATTTCGTGTTTTGAGGAAAACTCACCTTTGAGAGAACCAACGTAAGGATTTTAAACTTTGGGGAAATTTCGAAATTGGACTCTATCTCGGGGCATTTTTGTAATCGTGGTCTGCTTTATCGTTGAAACAAGTTTGCCCTGAAGAGACATCGATGGGGCTGTTGCGTGCCAATATTTAATGCGGAAACCGGGACGGGACTGGCGGAAGAAAGCAATAGCTTTTTGATCGCTAGAATCATCCTGCGCGCAATGTCATTTATCTGTCATTATTAATTCAGCTTTTATTTCTTTCCTCTCGGCCACTTCGCCCTCCCCATTTCTTCAAACTCGAGCAGCGGGAGGACTTATTGGAAAATATTTCTAAAAATATTTCGTACGGGGCAAAAATTAATGAAAATTCCACGCGCGCCAATCGATCTATTATATCGCTCCTGCGAATATTCATTATTATATTATTCGTAAAGCGGGTCAAAGTAAGGCGCGTTCATCTCCGGAGTTGGTCCATCCGCGTTCTTCCGACGGATGTCTGTAATTATAAGTTTGCGCAATTCTAGTTGCAGTATAACAACATTAAAGAGAAGTTACGAACCGGCGCGAGCTTTCTCTCGAACGCAGTTGATCGATAATTAAAAGTTAAAGAGTCCGCGGCGCCGAAATATGTTCTCGAATTAATTGGGAATCAATTTTATTAGTGCCCTATTAATTCTTAAACATTCGATATTTTGCGCGTAAATCATTTCTGCCGTAATGATATTAACCGCAATATTATTATGCTCATTATTAATATCATTTATCATTATTCGTGCGTTACCGACAAATTTGTAAACTCGTCGTATACAACGCAATTTAACGAATATAATTGTTGCATAGGTTGACGAAATTAATTCGATGGGCAACGAGTTCTTTAAAGCGTCACATCGATTGTCGTTTCTTTTAACTTTATTCGGCCAAATTAATTTTTGTATACATTAAATGCTCCGCGATGTGTCTCTAAATTTTGTTGGCTTTCGCTTGTTTGACGAATTAAAAATGTAATAAACATAACGTACATTAATCTGTTAATGAGCAGTTTACCTCAAATTAGTTTTAATGGACGTTATTCTATCTTTCGCTCAAAAGAGCCTGCTTTGCTAAAGCTTTTTGATGTTAAATAACTCCTCAATTATACCATGGTTTGAATGTTCGCGAACGCGAAATTGGTTTCAATTTTGTCAAATTACACGTCGCTAAAGTTACATCCGCTCATGAAACGTCCAATGTACCGTACCTCCCCTCCTCTCTCTGCCTCCTTTATGACAACGTGCATTTTACCGATTAATTTACAGCGCGCGCAATCTAATTTGCAACTATTATTCAGAACAACGCGCGCACGCGTCGTCATTGTTAACTGGAATTCCTCGTTTATCTGTGGCATATCGCGTTACCGCGTGGCTGACACGCGATACCTGCTTATAGAGCGGTATTTCCGACGTACGTACGTACGTACGTCGCTCTCCGAATGGGAGGCGAGGGAGAGTGCACCGAAGACAAATATCAGCGTAATTCGCGCTCCTGGGAGCGAGAGGCGTTTCGACGGAAATGCCGCGCGACAGACGTGTCTAGTGCCGGTGAAACCGATTCGCAACGTTATGCGTATTACGTGTATACATACGCGCGACGGGCATTATCGATGACCGAAGCACCACGCGGCCCGCTGCTAACTGACCGTGAACAATCTCGACCGCCGCGGTATTGTCCCTGCAGGACAGACTGGAATATCCACCCTTTATGCACCCCTCGGGCATCACGCCCGGCTACCTGAGGACCCTGCTCGACAGATTCGCTCGCGTGAACAAGGTCCGCCTGAAAGACCTCCTGCAGGACTGGCGAGGGTTGGATTTGCCCGAGACGAGTCTCTATCAGCTTTTTATGGTCGCCGGTTTATTGCGGGATAAAGAGTACTGCGACTTTTATCGCTTCCTCGCGGTCGCCTGTGGATTTTTAGGAAATGTGAGTTATAAACGCCACTGGTGCAGTACAATATCTCTTTATAGCTCTGTATGTCCGATTCGCCCCGACATCGGGATCGGAAATGACCAATTTTTCTCCCTCCGATTTTTCTTTCTCGTCAAACTATCTACTAAATCCCATTTACACAAATATTTTTTAACTATCCATTAACAAGTATCGTTGTTACGTCACACTTTGTAGCGTAACGTATATCTGTTATGCGGAACGTTACATTTTTATATGAGAGAATTTCTTGAACGTAAAACCATGTGACAAGATATAAGTTAATTGTTACAGTAGATGAAATGACACGAGACATTCGATACGGAATTCAATTTGGAAATAAAACGGGGTGTTATTTGCCTTTATGTGTCGCCACACACACACACACACACACACACATATGCGCTGCGAAAGTTACAATTAGAACGGAGTAAAAATGTGATAGCGATATTAACTGAATACCAATCTACGTGAGCGACAGCTGCCAAGTTTTCAACTTTTAACGCAGCGGTAATAATAGAAGAGCCATTACCTGTATTGAACATTCGCGAATAAAACAATTCGGAATCACGATTGATTAAAAGATACGGTAATGCCTCGCTACGTGCGTATTACAATCGATATTTTTAATCCCTTTTGCCGAGAAATATACGATAAATTTTCGACAAAAGCAAAATAACAAACAATCGCCGGGTAAAATATATTCGTCCGGATATTTTACTTGCAACGTGTCAATAAATATAACGTTAGCGATACGTAGCTCTTCAGATTTTTACATTTGGCAAAAATAACGTTTTACACATAGAAATCTCTTTTAGTTGCCGGTAATAGATAAGAATAGTCAAGCTTTTTAGTCGATATTAACCGGGCATTGTTTTAAGTCGAGAAATAGACGCAAAGGTGTCATCTTTATCCTGTTATTGCGACAAAGAGAGAAGGGAAGTCCAAACCCTGGCTGAGGTAATATTTTTCGCAATAAATTTTCTGTATTAACAAGTAATAAACGAAAAGGTTCAGAGCCTGAGCAAGGTTGTAGTGTTCAATAAAAATATTTTAATTACAAATGTATATATACGTTTCGGTCCTTATTGGACCATCCTCAGTATAAGGAAGAGATAAGTACGATTTAACACATGGATGGATTCGCAAATTAAACATATACAGAGAATTGCGCAGTCAAGAGTTGTAGTGTAGTAAGTAATTGTTTACTGTAATGTCATCCACACAGTTGAACGCGGCTCCAACTCTTTCTTTTTAATTCAACATGTTATACTCACTTGCGCTGTGTTTTATGTCTCATAATTTATGATAATTTTACACTATTGACTGCGTAATCCTCCGTGTCTATCCATGTGTTAAATCGTACTTATCTCTTCTTTATACTGAGGATGGTCCAATAAGGACCGAAGCGTATATGTACATTTGTAATTAAAATATTTTTATTGGACACCACAATCTTGTTCAGGCTCTGAGCCCTTTCGTTTGTTACTTGATTTTATCATACGAGCCATTGTTATTGATTTCTGTATTAAAACATTGGCCGGTTAATGTCGACTAAAAAGTATGACGCTTTAAGTTAAAAAAGCTCAACTTGATCGTAATAGTAAGTGAATGCGCTATTAGTTGCGTCCTCGTGGTTGTAATTTACGCCCGCTGTAGAATCTTCTCGAGACGATGACATACGTGTGCGAACTACTGACGCGCGAGCCGGAAGGCGGCTCGGCCATGATACCCCTGAGGATTTTCCTGGATCTCTACGGATATCTGGCGGATCTCGATTGCGGGCGTCACCGTCGCAAAGCCGAGGAGCGCACCGATTTCCCGCACGACGCGACAACGTCCGTCTCGGAGCCGTCGTCTGGCACGATCGATTTGACGACGAGGGCTCGCAGCTGTGAGTTCGCAGCGATGGAAAAGGTATCGGGCAGCCGCCGCGTTTCTCTTCCGGTTGAATAAAATATCCGGCCTGACGCGACTCCCGTTCGGTAACGGGGCAACTCTTCGTTTTATCTCATCGGATTGCGAAAAAACCGTTCCAGCGGCCCTTTAATGAGATAGCTCTGGAATATCCTATTTCCTCGGTCCAATATTTCTATCAGAGGGTTCGCAATCTTGGTAAGGAATAGGCGAGAGTCAATTGCGTCCCAGTAGCTTGAAAACGTGAGCACGATAGCGTTGTTTTTCGTGAAATTCGAAATGAATCTTTAGAATGTAAAAATATCCAAGGTAAACCACACTTGTCAAAGACTCGTATAATAATCCGGGATAATTCGCGAAACATTTGATATATATAAATTATTGCACAAACAGTACAATATATTTGTCGTCGTAATAAATAGACTTGATTTATATACGATGGCATAATTCTCAGCAGATTTGACATTTATTTATAATTGATGCATGCGTGGTAGAGCTATTTGGATTAAGCACATACAACGCGCACTTTAACCAAGCGCCGCATTGTAGTTTTGTGGATATAATTGTAACAAAGTTACGACCGTCTTTCTCTGAAGGGAACAATGCGAACGGTTCATGTACGTCTGCATATTTTATAATGATTTAATAATTGCAAGGCACGTATTTCCATTTATTTGGTATACGTTTAAAAGGAAACTTGCGACGTTTCAATCGTTACGACAGAAATTCGCCTTTATTAATTATAATATAATTTTGCAATATATTTAAATAACTGATTAATTAAGGCATTAATATGACATGCTAATAATTCTCTATTTCGACGCATAAATATTAAATTGATACATACATTTAGTATTATGTTAAAATAAATAGACGGCAATATATGTTGGAATCGTGATATGGAAGTTACAGTTGGGAAATTACAGGCATGTAATAACACGCGCGTGATGAGTAAAATTTAATAAATTTTCCGAGTAAAATTTTGCCAATAAGCCTGCGTATGCGCGTAGTAAGCTGCTTTCGCCATACAATATCCACTCTGGACTACTAACTACTTCTCATTACAAGCAGTGCTGCATATTTCATACACGCATTTGCGTTTCGGACCCCGCTTTTCGGAGCAAGCGCAAAATTAACCAGTTCACATGAAGATTACGGAAAATATTAACAACTCCAACTTTGTACGGAACTGACTTGGAAATTCCTAAATTAATGCATTGCGATCGTGGACCTTACACAGGCGCCGCGATAATGTCAGTTTATAATCCTAGTTATACAGTGTGATATACGTGCGTTAAATTAAATGGCGAGCGTTAAACACGTTGGTCGGGATATACGCTTTTTAAATATATTCTTCTGACAATGTACAACCCTTTCAAAGATTTCACTGCACATTTTATCGCGAAAAGACGTTTCTCGATAACGTTAGTGTCGCCAAACCTTGAGCTTTTGCCAGTGTTGACAGTTAAAATGAATTAAGACTTGGTCAGATATTTAAGTAACGTACAATCATTAGCTTCTTCGAGATTACGTTAAATCGGAACAGATAATTTCTTTCTGTCTACATTCCCGCTTTATTGGCCGATCGACTCGTATTCAATCAAGCACGTATCAGGAGGCGAGAAGCCCTGACGAGGATGTTTGCGGGAAAGCGCCTCGCGAAAAGCGACCTTCGAAAAGCCTCGAGATCTTGAAGGATTACGGGGATGACCCGGAGCACTCCGACATCGACATAGTGTTGGCGAGACAGTCTGTCGCCAGCGATAAAACCGAAATTGAGATCGAATCGATTGATGGTCACGTTTCCCGAGGAGGGACGAGCGAGGTACGCCCGCGGGCACGTTGGAAAAACGCCGGAAAAACGATCAGTCACTTTGAATTTTGCGACCGGGCGATTACGTCGTAAAATATACAGAGCGTTCCGCCACGAGCATCTCTGAAAAGTAGATTTTAATCTCGATGTACTCTTTGTATCAGTGATAATCCTATAAAAGAAGTGACGCGTAAAACTTTTATTTCTTTTTTACCGAACGAACGTTTGTTTAGTCAGTCGAAAGCAAGTTCGAGTACCCTGTCATTCCTTCGATCATCGATCACATCGAGCATAATGGCGGTACTGGCAAGAGCCCTCCGAGACGCGATGCCGATATACGAGAGACAACTGATGATGCATCCGAGTTTAACTTGGAGAGCGAGGAGGGAATCGTGGGGGAAGCGGAAGCGACCGACTACGGGACTACTTGGATCGGTCTTGAAAACTCGTCTGAGATCTGCCGATGCGTCGACGAATCCGAGAGCGACCAGACGTCACCGCCCGACCCGCTGAAAGAGTTCCTCAAGAGGATGCGGGCGGAGGTGGAGGCGGGTCGTCTGGAAACAATCTTCCGGGTATCTGGAATCGGTCCGCCGGTGTCGCCCGAGCGTGTAACAGCTGTTGGACTGTGGCTGGCAGACTGCGCGCGTCGTCAGGAGGGTCTGGTCGGGCCGCGTAATATCCGCCACTTTCTCTGCCCGAATCTCGATGATATTCTGGAGTGCGATTGCACTTAACTATCGTAAAGTGTTCCTCCGTATACTTAACAATATGGCGTTTTCGCGACTGAACCAGTAGCATCAAGGTGATTTTTAATTATCATATCTCTTCGCACACATGTAAGCAATTTCGTATGGCTCAGATGTGATAAAGACAAATTTGAAGGAATAAAGGAGCCGTGACAGGGTGTTGACAGGTTTAAATATTTCATATTTTTAATTTACATAATATTACTTACGTTATGAAGAATTGTGAGCGAATGAGATCCGAAAGTTTATCAACGTTGGGAAATTTGTATCATCTTGCAGATAAATAATTCACGATTGCATTAAGTACAATCGCGAACTCGTTAGCATTAATTTATAATCGCAATCTCAACGACCTTATTATACATTGAGGAAGTAAGTGGCACCTTTCCACGTGAGATTTGTAATTAATGTATACAAATTAGAGTTCTCAGATGCGTCCCACGTTTCATTTGGTTATATAATCATCCAACATCGATGTTGTATAATTGCCTTTGATTTATAATCATGCACGGTCGCGATTAAAACGTCATAATGTAATATCGAATAACATTCATCTTGGTGACGACTATTATTATCGTAAAAGGACGAATAAAGCCACAATACAGTTCGAAAAATACGCGCGTTATGAATCGTTGCACCGATCATGATTTTCCGTCTACTCGATATTTCGATCTTGTATCACGTAGGAGAATAGTATTAATAGAAGAAAAGCAACAGAGGGAAAGTAATAGATTCCGCGGTGACGAGACGGAAATACACGTATAAAATTGATCTCTTCCTTCGGAGCAGCGGAAGTGATCGATATTCTTTGAGGGCACGTGTCTGTTATTTTCCATAACCGCCTGTTCCAGCGTGCGTTTTGTCAATTCGCCCCTGCTGGCTACCGTATCGGCAACAACAACTCGGCAATCGATTATTGGTCGAGTTATTATTGGTATCACGGTTGCACAATATTGACGTATGCCGGTCAGCTCCAGGGTTCATAACCCACTCACTCTACTCGCGCCCACGAGTCTCTTCTAGCCCTATGGGATTTACTTTGATATCAAGCTCTATCACACGATCACGTTATCAAAACAAACAGCGTACGACAAGCACATGCCATTGAGTGTGCCGCATTCACTTTAAGGGCGGCGCGAATGGAGACTCTCGTCACTTCGACCACGGGGAAAAAATCCGGTCGAAGGTGCGAACAGAGGCCGGCGAGTTTTCGTTTGTTTTCGAAATGAGAGGATCCTGGTCCATTTAAATCTGCACTTGAAATCGCGCTCCTCTCTCGAGAAGTTTGCCCATAGAAGTGCTATTTGAAAAACCTCTATCATCCGTGCGTCGTGAAAAAAAGACCGTTTTTCACATACCGTAAAAATAAATTTTTGTTTGTTTTCTTGTATGACTTTTACGTGAAACGTAAATCTCACCGAAATTCGTGCGCGTTATTCACTGGTTGATTTCACTTCGGTGAATAAACCTCGGATTAATACTCGCCGCGTGGTTAGGTCGTTCTCCAATTTTTCGCTTCAGTATTGCCAACGTTTGATTACAAGGAAAGTAGCCTATGAAACAATAGCAAAGTCTATACGCTAATATAAATAATAAGTCCTCGCATCTTTGTCAAACAAATAACCTTTTAACCAATTTGAAGATACATCGCATGTTTTTTTTCTCTTCGATAAACTCGATTGTTAATTTGTCCCTATCTTTCGTAAAAATTAGATTTAGCTTTAACCATATTAAATTATCGCGCAAACTTGGCCGTTTGCTTCGGCGGCGTTTTGTCTTTTTGGACGTGTCGAGGAAGAGCCTTGATAATTCTCCCTTTAGAACTGGCTTTGTTATCTCGAAGCAGATTAATTCCATCGCAGGAAATGCAAACGTCCATCGCACAACGCAATAGTCGCCTCTTTCGTACGCCGAGCGTAACTCGAGCGATTAGATGGCTTAAAAACGAAATGGAGCGCACGGACGAAAGTTTCCTGTATAAAAGGGAGTCCTTTTTTCTACCTTCGTTAAAACGATAGTAGAATTCCGTCGCGATGATTCCGACTATTGTGTTACTTTCCGTGCTTTTGTTGCTACCCCAAAATATCCGCGGATGGCATATCGCGTTTCCGAATAACAGCGAGACCGTCAGCAATGAGCTTCGCGAAACTACGTTTCAACCGGCCTTTATATTTCCAGGTGAGATTCATTTAAATGATACATTTTTATCAATACGATTGTATTGTAACGTCTGCGTGCATATACAATTCTTTTTACAAAAGAGAAGAGAGTATATTATTTAAACTTTCTGATTTTTATCATTAAATTACGATATCGGAAGTACATAAACGTCCGTTCAAAATGTGATTAGATAAAATAACTCCTACCGTTCGGATTTGATAGAATAAGTTTAAAAAAACTACTCTGATGACTCTTTATTCCGATTCATGGAAAATGTTGCAAAATTGAAGTGGACTTTTATAAAACCTATTTTTGCTACGGCATATAGGGCACAAATATAGTAGATTCCATTTTGCTGCTAATGAAGTGTCCGGCATATTTTAACAGTTTATTCTGTCTCACGTAAGCAATACGTAAAAATTTTATTCATTTCCAAGAGAAGTAATGTAAAGAAATATTAATATAATTTATAATATTAGTTTAGTTAACTTTCTTGTGCACAATTTGTTTTATACATTGTAATAGATGATTCAGTAATGGTGGAGAGAACATTTTAGAGAACTCATTTGTCGTTGTACGTTTGAATTTTCATCAGGAACAAAATGGTGCGGCAGTGGTAACATAGCGGATGGCCCGAACGATTTGGGGATATTCGCGATGACTGACGCATGTTGTCGCGAACACGATAATTGCAAAGATATAATCGAAGCGGCGGAAACCAAACACGGCCTGACCAATTCTGCCTTTTATACGAGGTGAATTTACACGAGGATTAATTTAGAACAAGGTTTCTTATTCAACCTCTTTTTTTTTAATGAGACGATAAGTTAAAATTTAAATAATAATTAAATTTTGCCGAGAATTCTTACGCCGTTGCAAAATATGCCAAGTAACTCCAATTCGAAAAGGTTGAAGTTTATCGATCCTCGGTATCTTTGAATCTTTAACATCTATATTTAGCCCAGGAGATATTTTTGTATCGTGTCTGCTATTATTTTTATAAAAACTCGTTAACTTCACCAAAGATCCTCGTGCTTCGTAATTCGTGATACGGAAAAGTACCGTTTACTCGTGTACGCTGGACTCTGTCAGTAGAGGAGAGTTCTCTATTATGAGATATGTCCCTAGCATGCTCCCAATATGAGATAGCGGGGTTTCTGCTATGAATTTATTGTCCTTCGAGTGAAATCTGTTTACTGGAAAATTCATTGTTAGATCGGACGTGTAATCGTTGCGAAAAAAGTCTTGTAAAATTGGATGTTAAAAACTCGCTAGGTATTTCATATTAGGAATTTATCTCATAATAGAGGACTTTCCTCTGTACAAGAAAACGTACGTATATAACCTTCTTTTTAGCCCACGCGCAATCTATTATAGTTACTTTGTATAACGTGTAGGTACACGTGTCATGTTGCAAGTATCGACAACCAGCGGAAGCGTAGTTAAACACCTAAACGCAACATAGAATTTTACACACTCGAACACATAGTGCCTGGATAAATGAAAGAGGAAAATTAATATTTTATTTTTCAAAAGTGAAACGCACGAATAGTTTTCGTCCATGCGCATTATCGTGTATCGCATTTGGCCATTTTGTCATGCAAAAAGATTCAGTAGCAATTGTAGAAGAAAGTCAATGAACCAGTCCGCAGTAGCGAGTCTGTTGTGCGATTTCACGCAACTGAAACACTTACCAAGTTTCGTGCGTGTCTTACTATAGTTGCGGCTGACGTTTGACGTTGATATACGACGTCGCGCATTATTACGAACTTGGTATATTAATTACGTAGGCAATTTTTTTATAATATGCGATAGGATGGAAAAAAGCGTTTTTAAAAGCTCACTTTACAATATATTAAAAACAGTTCATGTATTATTGCTAGGTCAGTAATTTGAAGCTATTGCAAATATATTCGATATTCACGTTAACTAAAATGTTAACGGAATATAATTTAGTAGAAAACATAAAAATATGAAATAATTCATGCGCGAAAAAATTGAAACAATGCAATATTCATCGTCTATTAATCGCAATGGAAAATATTAAATATTCAAATGATGTGAAAAATGGTGGGAAAAAAATGACTGGTCTTAGCAATCGCCGATTCCTCTGTTAGCGTTCTAGGATGCAAAATAAAACGGAGGATTTGGAACGGGAGTGGACTAAGCTTGTAATTTGTAAGCTGTACTTTAGACACGCGCCTTCGTGTTCAAAGCAGACTTTTTCTTTCCTTAGCTCACTCTTTCTCCAAATCCCTCGATTATCTGTTGCGATCTTATTCTTTATTCTTAAGGCACTTTTTACAAACATCGCCATTCCACACCGTATAAGTAATCTTAAATTGAAATGAAGCGAGGTCGGTTTTTGTAGCGAGTAATCTGATAAAGCGTGGTGAAATGTGCAAAATCAGGCTGCACTGTTCCTGCGACGAGAGGTTCTACGACTGTCTCCACAGCTCGGAGGAACTCGTTAGCGCGAAGGTCGGCTTCCTCTACTTCAGTGTGTTAGACACCAAGTGCTTCCGCGAAGACTATCCCATCGTTGGCTGCAAACGGCATTCACTGTGAGTCGTAAGCGTATTAGAGCCTTGCCAGTAGCGAGTCTTGCGTCGGTGCTCGGTTTTCAAATGGGTCAGGCACTCGCGAGAGATTCATCGATCCTCTCGCGATTCTATTTAATATACGCATATATACGGATCGTATTCAGTTTCATTGCTTCCTGATCATATTCCGATATGCATCGGGAATTATATCCGTGTAAATACATTTTTCGCTTCACGTCGGGCTCGCTCAGCATTCAATGGTATTTATATTTTCTTTTCCAACACGCTGCGTAAATATTTCCGCTACGACGTATATTGTTGAAAATGTAAGAGAATTCCATATACGCGGGAGTATGATTCGGAAAAGCCGCGTATTATCGAGACGTTTTAAGAACGACGTGCTAACGACCTCTTGGCAGCATTCCTAGACGCTGTTTGGAGTACGAGCTGGACGAGAGCCAACCGAAGATGTATCAGTGGTTCGACGTACCCACGTATTTCGAAAACGACCACCGGATGGTGATGGCCGGCCGTCATATTCGATCACTCGATTCCGGCACCCCATTCGCAGACCGATAGGAGTCTATTTTGCGGGACCGCCGACCACTGGAGGAAACGTCATACGCGCGTAGAGCCGTATAAATTCGCAATCGACCATGCCTGTCAACGTAGTTAAATAAGTGCCAATAAAATCGCTCTTACGATCGCCTCGTTCCCGCTGTCCCTCTTTTTTTCCCCCGTCCTGCCTCAAACGCGCAAGTTAAATTTCGTCGATGCGTTAACCCGGAAAATGCGTAGGTACACGGATTACCCGCGCACAAGAATGCGGGTCGATTGTACGGCGGATGATCCGCAAAAGTGGAAATTATGAGGGTCATTAAATGCACCGATCAACTGCAAATTGTAATTTCATTTTCACGGCTGAATACATCGACAATGACGGCAAAGACACAAAGTGCGGACTCGCGTTTAAACGTCTGTTCGGATAATTGAACGTTTCGTCACGTAAATTGTCAATATTGAACAAGCGTGCACGCTAGAGAGATATTCGCCACGTAAGACACACAGTGACCGCAATTAAAATTAACAAATAGCATTTCTCTGATTACATTGTAATATTATCTATCTCCGTTGTGCTTTATTCGTTTTACAATGTAGCAATAAGTCCCGTTGAGAGCCCACTAAATCATTTCAACGTAATCGCCTGTTATCGGATCTGGAAAAAAAAAAGAAACAGAAGCTGAAATAGAAGCTAACGTTAGCGCGGAAGAAACGAGAGGGTTGGTCCACGGGGCGCTGTGAGACGGGAGATAAGCGACGAGGGTCGAATCGGAGATGGGAGAGGGAGCGGCTCGCTTCTCTCCTCGCCTCCTCTTCTCGCTTTTCCGAGGCTTTCCTCCATTTTACGCGAGGCCGTGCGGGCAGCTGGCGCTTACTCCGGGATTTGCTCGGAAATTTATGTCCGGATGGAGCGCAGCCGCGCCGTCCCTCGCGCCGCCAGCATCCTCCTCCCACCGATTTACAACTTCTCCGCTCACCTGCGCCAACTTTCGGATGCGCGTGAGCGCGCGCGCCAGCTCTCCAACCCGGCGACTCCATTCTTCGTCGCGTCGTGTACCATCGACGCGATAGGAAAAATTGTCGACTTCGCGTTGAACGCCGTGATTTATTGCCGGGGAAATCGCACGCCGTCGCCGTCGCCGTGAAGGCCAAGGCGCAACGTTGGACGACGGCAATATTTAAGAGCACGGAATATCTACGGGACTGAAAAATGGCGAGCAGCGAAAGAATATGAATTAAGTAAAGGATGACGAATGTCCATAGATTGTTTAGGTATTCTTAAAGACATTGGAGAAATAGAAATTCAGGTGACTTGGATTTACGGGTGTTACAGATAGTATAAATACGCTTTACCTCAATATCCAGGGTGTTATGTAATACCCGCCTCACCTCTTCCTGTACCATTTTGCGATTTTTGCAATAGTTAACGAGTGATTAATTATTAAAAAAATCACTGTCTTAGCCCGGCCTATCGGCCAATTGAAGCGCGCGACGAGATGCGGCCGTCCGCGATCGGCGCGCAGGGAGCTGTTTATTAGGCCGGTTCTACATTGACGGAAAATTATTATATTGCGATTATATCGTAGAAAAGTTTTCTTCCGACGAGAATTGTGCTCCCTGTCAGCCTAAAAGCAACGAGTGTCATGCAAATTTTAAGGCGAATGTTTCTCTTTATCTTTGCAGACGTGGCGGCATCAGTGGAGGTTCACTTCGAGAATAAGGACGGTGGATTCTTCCTGAAGCACATACCGCGGCAATATTACCCGGCCCGCGGTACGTCGGATACCATCCCGGCGTTGTCTACGGGTGCATCGAATAGTAACAATAATAATAACAACAACAACAACAACAATGCGGGGGGTACGGTACCGTCGCCGCCACCTGGCTCTGTTCTCTCGATCGACAAGTTCACCGTCTTCCAGACGAGCGAGCCGGTATCGGTGCGGGCCACGTACGGTCCTTTCAGCACCAAACAGACTGTACCGGCGCGTTACATAGTCCCCGATCCGTTGGACGCGCTACCGGGACCAGAAACGCGACGCAATCTCACGGCGGCGACGATCCTGGACGCGCAGGAGCTCGGCGCTCGGCATCTGGACATGTCGGCTCATCTGGTGGGCAACAGCGTGCCGCGCGACTCGCCCGTGCTCAGGGTGCTCTTCCACGCCGGCAGCGAGGCCGGTGGTAGACGTCAGCTGCTGATGGCGCGGCATCAGCGGGTCTGCGTGGTGCTGCACGCCAGCCTGGCCAGTCCGTCGCGGGGCAATGCCGCGAGCAGGAGTGGACACGGTTACTCTTCCTCCTCTTCCTCCTCCTCGTCATCGCCATCTTCCGCACTTACGGCCGCCTGCAGCCCCGATGGCGAGAACGGCGTGTGTCTCGCGCAGATCACCATACCGGCCGATTGGTGGGCGCCGTTACCGCCGCCCGATGCTTCCGGCCGTGTCAAGGTCGCCAAAAGTCTGCCGCGATTGATCCAGGTTGCTTACTCCGTGTTGGAGCCGCGTACGGAAGAGGGAGGAGGACTTGGCAGTGGTGGTAACGGTGGCAGCGCCGGCGGTTCGGTCGACGCCACCGGCGGATCGGGATTCTGCAGACCCAGAGTGCAAATACAGCCAGTCACTCCTCTGGGTCAAGTGCCGCTCGCGCCCAACAAGGCAGATTACAAGGAGCTCAGAGCGGATGACTCGCTAACGTTGCTGGTGCCGCACGGACCGCTCTATCCGAGGTCCAGGTTGCACATCCCGGCCTTCCTGCATCCCGTTAAGGTGACGGACTCGCGGCAGGAGCGAGCGCCGTTGATCGTCGCGGTTTATTTAAGGTAAGCAACTCTGCGAGCTTTTCACCAATTTTGAGGAACGACTCTGAGTAAACTATCTAGACAGAACTTATTACCTGTAGCTCGCAAATTAAAGACGAGTTAAAGATGAGAAAAAAAATGAGCTAAGAAGGAAAGTTAAATTAAAATGACAGATCGTCAAAGACGTCAAACCGCGGCTCTCATTTGCTAGCTCCCGTTTTTCAGGTGGTATCATGGAAAAATGCATTAATCAAAGGTAAATTCGTAAATTTTCGCTAATATTAATTATGAGATTGATGATGTTGGATAAGCGCGCTTTGCAAATTCACAAATAAACCGTGATTAGCGCAGGCGAGTATACAAACACGCTTATGATATCGCGTTTAATCACTTTTCGACAAATAGGCGGTTAGATGTGAGAGTCGCAATTTCCGCGTTGAGATTCACTTTGCATCTACTTTTTTTTAGCCGCGCGCGTCTCGCGGCAAGCGCTTTTAAATCCCAGCTCGAGGGGGACCACTCTCGCGCGGTTGGAAAATGGGTCGGAAACGTTCCGTCGGGAGGGGTTGGAATCCTCTAATTGGATGAATTGTCAAGTAAGCTGGCGAGCGAAGTTACAAGCTCGTCTGTTGTTAGTAAGCACTCAGAAGTTTCGCGACTGCGACTAACACGCGGGGTACACTCGAACACGGACCAACGGCAGCCAATCCGCGTGAGAAACGCATCGTTGGCTTTGCAACACGCTGTTGGGAATGCGAACCGGTGTTGCCGGGGTGGAACTTTTTGCGTTGGATAATCGTGAAACACTTGAACCAACGTTACAAGTCGCAGGTATACAAGTTCCGCGATATAACACGATATCGTACCTAGATGCATACAACTATAGCGGACTATGAGTCGCGCAAGATCGATATCCATTGTAGTAAAAAGCACGTCGCATCAGTTTCACAAAGCTGTACGTGAGGCTTGCATAATTAATCGAACCACTGCTGTCGCGTATATAGTCTCGCGAAAATGGATTAGCAGTTTGCGATGATATCAGATATCTTTAAAAGAAGAATGTTAATTCGCGTTTTACGATCGCAATTCACGTGACATTCTTTATTTCTCCCGTTATTAGTGAATTTAGCATTTATTGACATTTCAATAATCAAGCTTCTTAGTCGACATTAACCGGCCAGTGTTTTTAATACAGAAAATTTATTGCGAAAAATATTATCTCAGCCAGGGCTTGAACCTGGACTTCCCTACTCTCTAGGCGGGCGTTTCACCAATTCGACCACTGAGGCATGTGGTAATGTTTGTCGCAATAACAGTTTAAAGATGATATCTTTGCGTTTATTTTTCGACTTTAAACTGCGCGCCGATTAGGGTTGTCGGCCGTACACAGAACTGTCGATACGCGATTTTTAAGTATCCCTATCCACTTCCCCACTTTCCCCAACATGGACACAATTGTTAAGTCCAAATCTTCTGGAGATTGATTGAGACACCATCTTTCAAACGCACTGGCCGGTTAATGTCGACTAAAAAGCTTGATTATTGTTATTTACTACTATTGAAATGTATTCTGAGTTTCTTTTTTATTATTCTTGTCTTGGAGACGCTTTTTAAAATTTATAAAATTTTAATGCTCTGTAATATTTTAGACATAACGCGAATTACGGCACAACGCGTGAAGGTGCATCCAAGATAATTTAGCGGAAATTTATGAAATCCTTCCAAAATTTATGAACCGCTTAAAAGGCTATTGTATGCACTTACGTGTGCTATTATGATAAAGACTTTCGCGTTGCAGCATCGACGTCGCACAATTAGTAAGCGAAAACTTTACTTAGTTTGCTACGATAGGGGTAAACCGCTGACTAAAATCATGTACACCAATGCCTACTAATGTCCAGCGGGCATTACTTTATCTTAGTTATCTTTTTGTATCTTTACAATGCCCAAAAAATGCCTAGTAATGTCCGGTAATGCCCGGTAAATCTGTACTCCGCAATGCCCTCAGTGATTTACCCCCCGCTCTAGCTGTTTCGTAGTGGACACAAATATTTAAAAGCTATTATATTATTGCATTTAATATAATTATAGGAATCGACCTAAAGAAATGTTTAATTATTTTAATCGCTATATCATATCGTGGAATATCGATTCCGTGATCGCTGCTCGAAGTGGATTTTGTCTTGACAAAAGTTTTACGAGAACCTAGCTTCTACGCTATTTTTACGCAGGGTGAGATGCAGGGCGCAGCAATTTCTCATACGAAGAGACACGATACCGCACTTTTTAGTTATTTCCCCTTTCTGCTTGGTCGTATACGAAGTGCGCCTCTCTTTGAATGTGATATTCGAGACCGTGCGAGTTTATTTATTAATTATACAGGAATATAATTTACATTTTTTTAGCTGTACCGCGAAAAGTAGAGTACTAATGAACTTCCTTTAATCCTTATTGCCGGGCAGCTTATTAAAATCTCGCAAACGAATACAAATTAAAAGCTCTCGCATACGACGTAACCGCAAAGCATTTGTACGATTAGTTCTCTTTCGTAATATCACGAAATGGAGATCCAATATGATGCAGTTTATTTGGAATATAAATTCTAAGGGATTATATCGATAATTACACCTTTAGAAAGCAATTCTCTTGCAACTTAGATAGTTTTACGGAGCACCACATTCTCCATATGTGTTATTCGTTAAAACTGCTGCATTTTTATTCTCTGAGAATAGTCGAATTAAAGTACTATTGGTAACCACTTCCTTCGAAATACGATTCACGTAATTTTTGTTGTTTGTTTTGAAACGTCGTGATATGGACGATGGTAACGCGCAAGATAAGCGGTATTGATAGTTGGACTCATTACGGAGGTCGCGGGTTATCGAGACCATCTTCGCAATTTCTGCATACCGAAGCGATTTTAAAACAGAATTGCGTTTGTTTACACACGCAGAATCTGCGTAGCCGCATAGCCTTGACGTTTGGCAACTTTATGGAATTGATGAGATAATCGTAACTTTTTTTACAAGTGGCGTTATTTGCGCAGAGATAAATTCGTATTAAAAAAAATCATATTATCTATCTATGTAATGCTGATATCTCGTATAAACATAAAATATCGCAAAATTTAGCATACGACATCTCTCTATTACGTATGTTATTTTAGAATAAATTGTTTATACAGGACTTTTATAAACGTTTTGCATTGACCGCGTCAAAAAGTCATTTTTTTCTTTAGTTAGTTTACCTCAAATTCGTTTATCTGAAGTTAGTAATATCGTAATGTTTAACGAACATGTATTATCAGTTTGAGCATCCCAGTGTTGCATAATTTAGCGAACGGTTGACCTAGCTCTCGAAAATAAATACTTCATACGCGACATTAGATGCGTTAGTCTGACTCCCAATTAAATTTTCATGCGAGTCACAGTGACATTTAAAACTCGATTATAAATACAACACACGCGCACACTTATCTCCATCATTTCTTCTCATCTGTCTTTATTTGTCTCTCATTTACAATATTTAGCAAACGTAATTCCAGGTATGAAAATTTGAGAAAGAACGCTCGTTCGAATCTCCTAAATGTTTCAAGTGCGAAACTACCCCGTGGAGAAGCCCTCGAGAAATACGACGAGTTGAGGGAAAATTTCTTCACGCGTTAAAGAGCTCGCTAAGAGCTAATCGTAGCCTTTGTCCGCGCCGAAGGGAGGGGGGGGGGCGGCTTTATCCCGCTTTTTATGTCTCGCAACCTTAATCTAAGGCTCTTACAGAGCCACGTTAAACCGTAGATTTCCTACGCGACCGCCTCTTAAGCCGCACTAGTCCGACCATAGGTCTTCGCCTCTGTGCCCCTGCGATATTGCATCGTTCAGCATTGCAACAGCTATGCAGAGTCCTTGGTTGTATGTCTCGCACTTTCTTTCAATTGTAAATGCTGAATCGAGGAAAATGTAGCTTGTTTGATATTAATGAAAACGTTGTTGTCTTCATATCTATATTTACGATTATCTTGCACGCTGGCTCGAAAGCGCTACGTGCGGCTCGCGAAGAGAGTTGCGCTAAATTTATCTCGATGAATTTTTCAAATGTTTTTCGTAGTATGTACGGATGTTGTTGATTCTCCGCTAACTATATCTCCATATGGGATTGCATCCCTGCCAATATCGATTGATCGGCCAAAACACGAACGGGGCGAGAGAGAGAGAGAGAGAGAGAGAGAGGGGCGCCAGTCATTGAATAAACGGTAATTTTGAAGCGACATTTGGTCATTCGTCAGCCTGGAAGCGTGCGCGCATGCATTCCTGATCGTTTCCGATAGCGTTCCCCGGCCGTCGCTTCGCACATCGGCGATTTGTATGTAAATGCAAGATAGGCTCGCGGAAATAACTTGATCTGAACTTGTAATTGGCTCGCTCCTAACTCGCCCTGAGCGCCGTTTAACGATTACCCAATATCCACCCCTTTCGTGTCTCGCTGTCCCACTAATTCTTACTTAACCCGTAGTTACTACTCCGTTGTCATTTGTCGGCGCGATACAATTAGCAAGGAAAATAAACCTGATAGAGTAGCTGCTCCGTTTCAGCCCGATTCTGGCTTTCTCTTAGGAGATTTTTCTCTTTATCAAATAAATACAACTTGGATTGAGGTTCAAGAGATAAGTAAATTATTGAAAAAAACTTTGCAAGTATAGAAACGTTTAACAGTTAAATGATATAAAAAAAACTATGTAGAAATTGCACCTGGAAAGGTTGTTCCGTTAGCTAATTCGGTAAATTTCGATGCAGCACTCGGTTGTCTTTACAACGAAGGAATAAATTGACGTTTTGCGCCTTGGGTTTTTGTTAGGCGCGCCACACGCTTTTCTCCACTGTTGTCTGAAGCTTAATTTACTCTCAGCTTAATTTAATTAAGGTTTCGGATCCGTCGAAACGATTAAGACCCGAGATATGCAAATTAATTGCCGGAAGTGAGAAGGCGAACCGTACCGTGCGGAGATAGTAATTACGCTTGTTTTTGTA